TAACCATTACACTATCTGCTGGTCCCCATATGCAACATTTTCTTGATATTTTGTGGATCTGTCCTGAGATGTTACATCCTGATGAAATACACATCAAAACTGGCACTGCATATACACACATCCCAAGTTCTGCATATCCAACCAAGAAAGAAAATCCTTCTGTTTGCTCTTTCACTGTAAACTGTACATCCCGGTGAATCAAAGATGGTGGCAGCAGGAGAGTTAAGAAAGGTGACACGTCCAAATGAGCATGGGCAAGGGAGGGGCGGGGACAAGACAACCCAATGAAATGTTCCTCGACCCCAAGGTGTCAGCAGAAGTTCCAAGTCCTGCGTCAGAGTCCAAGATGGGCGTTCATATACACCAAGACGTCCAGAATGTCGCAGCCTGTCTTCACTGTGCAAAAGTCCAAGTCACTAATTTAGTGCAAAGGCAGTTGTTTTCTTGTTTCTTAAAAACAAACAAAAAAATTAACTCCACTGCCCTGTTCCTTTTCTCCAAAAAGAGGAGAGCACGCCAGCTCCAACGTGTCTAAGAGTCCAAGGTCGGTGGTGGGTCCTGGGCTAGAGAGCATCGTGTAAACATCCGGGGAGCAGCACCACTGCCCAGCACGGGTCTGCAGGCCGAGCCACGGCAGGAGAGTGGAGGCTGGCCACCTGGCAGTGCAGTCTGCCCCCTTGGGCAGCTTCCTCCTCCACTTGGGTGGGTTGTCCTGTGTTCTTGTTCTTTTTTTTTTTTTTTTTCCTTTTTTCTTTTTGCTGTGGAGCCTCGGGACAACAAACCAGGGAGGTGACCATTCCATGGTTCACACAGAGGCAATGACAATCATGAGGTGGGGAGAAATATTGGAGATGCTGGCAAGGAGGTCGGGGGCCAGACGAGACAGATGACTCTCAGAGAACTCGCAGGGCGGGAAGATCTGCAGCACATAGGCGGGCTGGAGAAGGGGATGGGAGAGAAATGTGGCACCCTCCATCTTCTCCACCCCGAATTCTCCACTCCCCACCCCCTTGCATTTCCACCCATGCAGAGGCAGGCTAAGTCAGCCTCCCGACCAGCTAACATCACGACTACGTCCAGCAGAAGGAATCTAGAAGATGTAGGAAAATATTCACAGGAACCCGCAGCCCCTCTCCCAGCATTAAGCTCAAGCAACGCCCCTATTACACAGGTCAGGCAGCTGCAGCCCCTCCAGACTTTGCTGGGCTCCTCTACCCAAAATACCTCCTGCTCATCTCTGAGACTCCCCAGACTGCTCGGCGTGGCACTGGTCCCCCGTGCCACCAGGCTAGCCAGATCACTTGCCCTAGACCAGTCCCACCTGCAGACCGACCTGATTGGAGCCAGGGTTGGGAACGTTGATGATCCCTGCTGCCTGCTTAGCCTGCAGGTACGTGATGAAGGCAGCTTTGAGGGACTCGGTCTGGCTCACGACGTCCTCTTGGTCCCGGCCACAGGGCAGAGCCAGCAGCAGACAGTAATCCGTCTCCACCTGAGACAAAGGTCAGTTGTCAATGATCAGGGACCTCTGAGCCAAAACAGCCCGTGTCCAATTTAGGGTACCAAGTCCACAAAAGCCCTACTGCTGAGATGCCTTGAAATTCCACCCTAATGTCTGTCGAATGAAAAAAAAAAAACCCTTTTTCTGGGCCTAGTGGCATTTCACACCCCCACTAGAAAAGGAATATGCCATTTGTTGACCACTTCTCGAATGCCATCACTGGGTCCCATGACAGGACAGAGGCCATCTATGCCACCGCGCCCTATGAACAAGGCAGCTGCTCATGTGGAGCCTGAGTCTTACCGTCATTCTGCGGGCAACCCCTTCCAGCTGGGAGGCCTCCAGCCGCATCCTCTGGGCGATCCTCAGGGGAGGGCCTCCTTCAGACAGGGGCAGGGACCGATGGGCCAGGACGTTGTTGCCGGAGACAAAGTGGAGCTGCACAGCAGCTGTATCGTTCTTGAGGGCGAGCAGGCCCTGCCACACGATGGGGTACTTCTGTTCACAGGGAAAAACAGAAGTGAGCATGTGGCCCTAGGCAGCAGCTTGCTGGTCTAGGTCAATTGAGGACCTTAGGACTTTCAAAATGGCACAGAATTCGAGGGGGCAGTGGGGGGCCCTGTTCATGTTTACCTTCAAAAGCTGAACCATATCCACAGGTCTCTGGGATGTCAAGTGTGAAGAGGAATCTTGTTTAGGGTTTGGCTGGGCTTCCGTGTGGGGCAGAGCCAGTCCAGGTGGCGTGCTGGGGCCTGAAGTTGTGGGGACAAACAACGGCTGCTTTGGGGCAGCCTGAGCAGGAAGTGGGGTCGGGAGGTCGGGCTTCGTAGAAATAGACACGGGAGAGGGATAAGAAGTCTGGCCCGTCTCCACTGGTGCCCTCTGAGCCTGGGCATGAGACTCAGGTGGCCTGTTTGCAGTGACAGCTGGGAGGCGAGGCTGCTCCACTCCTGTCTGGGTCCCCTTTGCCTCCTGGGACACCTGTGGCATCTTGCTGCCTGGTGGCTGGCCAGGCTGGCCGAGCTGGGAGGGCTGGCATGGCGGTGCAGGCTGGGCAGGCTGAGTGGGCTGCACAGGCTGGGCGGGCTGCACGGGTTCAACTTCAGGAGGGCCCTGCAGTCAGAGAGGCAGGTGGGAGGGACAGAGCCTGAGTCTGCTGTGCATGAGCCCCTTCCCCCAACACACACCTAATGGGTCACAGGGAAAGGTCAAGTGGGGCATCTCATGTGAGCCAAGCCCATGGAGGGCACCTAAGCCAGTGGTGCTGTTCCTGGGGGTGCCAGTCAGAAGTCACTATTATCTGTCCTCAGCTCTGCCGGCAGGAGCCCACACTCCAGCCATTCCCACAGGGAGCTCCTGCCACACACTGTGAGCTTCCCTTCCCTTGAGCTGACCCTTTCATTCCCAAATTTAGTTTATGGATGCATGCATGTGCCCAAGGGCAGGAGAGAAACCACCCACTCCCCAACAGGGCCTGCTCACACTGTAACCTTTCTTCCAGTCCTCTATCTTGGCCACATAGGCATGTGTTCCCAATGTGTTTCTCAAGTCACTGGGGGCAGGACTCAAACCCTGGTCAGCCTGTGGGATCCAGCTTCCCTGTGTAGCGCTTAAATGCTGCCCTATGGGGCCAGCCCCATCCTCAAATTAAAAAACCCCTTCTTTACCACAGAAAGATCATGCTTTAGGGAGTATCTGTTCAGCTCACTTGTACCTCAACCATTTTTTTTTTTCTTTTTAAACGCTTTTGCTTCAAAGTTTGCTGAGCCCTCAAGGGCACGTCCACTCACCTGGGCAGGAGTCTTGGTCCGGGAGGGTAGGCCAACTGAAGCAGACGCAGGAAACTGAGCATGTGTGAGCTGGGCTGGGGCATGGTAAGCTCGGATGTCGCCGTACCTGTATTCCTGGAACAGCTCCCCACTGGAGTGCACAATCTGCACCCCGTGGGTCACCACCACAGGAGGAGTCAAGGGCAGCCCCTGGAGCTGGTTGCTGGGAGTGACGGTGAGGATGCGGGCCTCCCCATGAGGGGCAGGGGCCGAGGCTGTTTTCGCCTCAGACGTCTTGGCAGCTTCTTTCACTGGCTGCTGAGGAACTTGGACACCGACTGCTGACTTGCTGGCTGGCGACACCTTTGCCACCCCATCTGCTGCCCTGGGCTGTTCACTGACCGCAGTCACGTGTGGGTGCACCATAATCCGCACATCCCGGGGAACGGTGTAGGGGTGCAGCCGGTACTCAGACTGCATGACCAGCACCTCTGACTGCACAGGGGCTGCGGCTCGGGCAACAGGGAGGTGATAGTGCACCTCCTCCTCGGGAGGGTGCTGGGAGGCCAGTGCAGGCACACTAGCTGCAGCAGGCTGAGGTGTGCCAGCTCGCTGCGGGGCCCTGACTTCTATCTGCTGGGGCTGTAGCGGGGCCCGTGGAGAGTGGAGGGTCTCTGGCCGGATGCTGTAGGTGATGCTGGGCAGCGTGGGTGTATTCATTCTCACCTCACCCTGGGACAAGTGGCCAAGGGACACAGTTTGGGTGATGCTGTGGGGCGGCATGATGACAGACTGCTCCGGGTGAATGCTAGAGATGAACTGAGGCACCGGGATGCCCGCGGCCAGCATGACTGTGGCGTTAGTGGAGAGTGCTGTGGACGTGGTGCTGCTGGGGTGGCAGGCCCGTGGGAATGGTGATGGCGCAGGCCCACTGGGTCGAGGAGAATGTGCGTCTGGCTTTGTGGCTGCCAGATGAGAGACAGTTCGATCTGTCGGGGTGCTTGGCCCCGAGGTGACATGGTTTACTTCTGCAGGCAGTTTGCTAGGCAGGGCAGGAGGGTGATGAGAAGTGAGAGTGGACCCCAGGTTAGCTGGCTGCAGGACCTTGGTCTCTATTTTAAGGGTGACAGGGTCAGCAAGCTTTTTATTAGTGGTGACTATACTTGGAGTAAGGACCAGCTGGTTGTGAACCAGCACTGGGGGTGTGTTTATGCCCTGGGTGAGAACCTTCACGGTGCCACCCTGAGTGACAGGTGTGGAGACAGAGAGGTGAATGGGCTCAGGCTTCTCCAAGGATGGACGATCAGCCTTAACCGACGAAATCACAGGAGAGGCGTTGTACGTCTGGGCAGTGAGTACCAGAGTAGAATGGGTGGCCACATTTGCATAGCCTGAAGGAGCTTGAGGGCCTTTGGGCGGAGGCTGCGATGGAGTGACAGAGTCAGGTTTCACCTGGGACTTGGACACCGACTGCTGGAACTCAATGTCCATTGCACTAGCCGGGGGGATCTGGCTGATCTTGGCACTGATCCGCTGTGGGCCTTCAGTCTTCTGCCCTGAATAGCTCAGCAGAACAACTCCCTCTGAAGTGTTCACACGCAGCCCCGCGCCAGAGCCAGCGTCTGCCGGCCGGTCGTCAATCACGGACATGGAACCAGGGTGGAAGCGGCTGTTTTCGTTAGCGTTCGTTCTCTGTTTGCACTTTGCTGATGGCGCAATCACCGCACCGGCCACAGTCACCGCGCCCGTCGTGGCAGTCCCACCACCAGAAGCAGCGGTCACTGCACCTGCCGTGAATGTCACCGCTCCAGTTCACGGTGCCCATTGTGGCGTTCACTGGCGTGGTGAGGACATTCACTGGCCCCGTGAGGACGTTCACGGGCCCCTTCAGGACGTTCACGGGCCCAGCAGGGGTGCTCACCAAACCTTTCAGTGTGGCCACGGGACCCTTCACAGGGCCTTTCAGGGCATTCACTGGGACCAGGGAGACATTCACCAGGCCGGTCAGGGCACTCACCAGGCCAGTCAGCGTTGGAGGAGCTGGTTTGGCCAGGGTTATCTTCTGCGAATTCTCCAAGTCAATGCTGACTGGCATCCTGCTAATCACCGAAGTGATTTTGGGAGCAATGACTGGAGTCACCTTTTCTTTGTCGGTGGCCACTGGGGCCTCCGAGGCTTGTGTATCAGAAGTGTTTGTGACTGGAGCTGCTGCCTTTTCTTCCAAAACAGGCTTTTTAGGTTCAACCGGAGGGGGCGGTGCCTCATGTAGACAAGGGGTGGCACTGACGGGCTCGGAGATGGCCGTGGTGACACTCGTGGTAGTGATGCCTGTGGCGGACACATACTTGGGGTCCATGAGGATCTTCCTTAGCGTGCTGGAGCTGGTGTCAACGTCAGAGGCCTTTGTGTCTGGGGGCAGGGCTGGAGAGGGAGTGGACTGAGCCCGTGACTCCTCCTGCCTGGTGATCCACTCTGTTACCTTAGTAGGGGGGCTCTGGTGTGGGGTCCCCCCTGAGATGACAGGGGGCGGGAGCTTTGCTAGAGTCACAGAAGGAATCGTGGGTGTGGGGATACTGGAGTCACTGGGTGGGGTCACCGGGTCACTTTCAATGATCGAATGCACCTTGAATCTGGCTTGTGGTTCGTCATCCACTGGTGCCTGCTGGGGCAGAGGGGCGAGGTCTGGGAGCACAGCCGCTTTGGTCGGAGTCTTTTCTTCAACACGGCTCTCCTGGGACAGAGTCTCTGTGGGTGGGGTCTTACTTGGGTCAGAAGCGCACAGCTGAGGAGTGGGCTGGGGCTTTTCACTCTGCTTTTCCTCCTGCGGAGCTTCTGGGGGTTGCACCGGTGTCTCTTCGTTCACAGCAGGACTCTGGCTCTGGGGCTGGTCAGACTGAGAGACATGAGTCTCCGCAGCAGCCCCCACTTTCTTGTTAGAGTTCCGTTTGCGGCGGTATCGTGTTGTCTTCTGGCGCCCTTTGTCTTTCCGGGCAAGAGCAACTTCTGCTTCTTTTCCTTTGGCTTCCTGCGCTGGGTGAGGGGTTTCAACATTGTTCCCCTTGGATTCCTTGCTATCAGCTGGGTCTGCTGAAGGGTCAGGGGCGCTGACTGATGGCCCAGAAGATTCTGCAGCAGCCTCAGTCTCCAAGATGCCAGACAAGGCCTCATCGGTCTCGGGCTCCAGTGCTTCCTCAGGGGGCTGCAGCCCTTGTGCTGGGGGCTGTAGCTCTGTCTGGGAGTCTGTAGGGTAAGGTGGAGGTGCAGGGAAGTTTTCTGGCTCCCCAGAAATGTCGTTGATGATAGAGCCGATGGCTGCAGCCAGTTCCGTTTCACTCGCTTGGTGTGCAGGCTTGTCCCCGGCCTCTGTGGCGAGGCCCTCTGGGGCATCTGCGGCAGCAGCCTTGAAAGCTGCGGAGGCAGAGGTTGCAGTGAGCTTTGCGATGTTCTCCACAGCCTGCTCCAGCTCCATCTGCCTGGCTAACTGAGTGGCTTCTGGGGACAGCTTAGAGGCAGGTGCGTCTTCCTTCTCTGCTTCCTTATCTGGAGCAACTGTATCATTTTTCGACTGGGATGATAAACTACTCTCCTTTTGAGGACTCTCGCTTTTCTCAGGGGAGACGGACACCACTGCAGCTGTGCTGTCCACTGCCGGCCCCGCGGCCCCAGCAGCCACACCAGGACTCACAGCAGTGTCCACGTTTCTCAGATTTGCAGATCTGTCGACTGCTGCCCTAGCATTCCGAGATCTCCCTCTCTTGGATTTGGAGTTTTTTTCAGGGGCTGGTTTTTTCTCTACCACTTCAGCTGGGGGAGCTTCAGGTGGGTTTTTGTCTGTGCTGGTTTCTCTTCTATCACGTTTCTGCTCATTCCCTGCTTCTTCTTTATCAGCCCTGGACCTGGTGTTATTTTCTTTTGTGGTTATCTGTGGAGCCACCTCGGTGGTAGCCTCAGGACGTTCAGCATCAACTTTTGGCTCACTTTTCCCCCTTTTCCCTTGGGGGCCACTAGCAGCTGCTGATTTCTGAGACCGAGGGGACCTCCACCCCTCGGCTGGCTTGGGTGTTTCTGTGGGTTCTTTGGCCTCGTTCTCATCTTCCTCATCGGCCCGACGGCGAGTTTTTGGAGGGCGTCCCCTCCGAGGGGTGGTGGGAACTGCCGCAGCCTCCTGAAGCTCTCGCTCCAATCTCTTTCTGGTCACTCGTGGTTGCTCGACAGGCTCTTTGACAGGAGAGCGGCTTTCATGGTCACCCATGGTTGCATAGACACTCCTTACGTTCCGGCGCCTTGTCCGGCTGAGAGGCAAGCTTGGTTCAGGGTGTTCAGGGTCCCCAGCAGAGTTTTTAGAAGCAGTCCTCGTAATCTTCTCTGCCTCTATCTTCAGTTCTAAGAGCTTCTGAGCTTCTCCCCGAGGAGAACTGGACCGCTTTAGCTTTTCTCTGTCTATTCGCTCACTCTTCCGTGTCACGGGCTTCTCCACGATGCTGGCTGCGGCCGCCTGCACAGGGGCCTTGGAACGCTTACTTTTGCTCGGCTTTTTATCTTTTACAGCAACTGGTGGGTCAATCTCTGAATCTTCAGAAGCTTGAGGCTGAACAACTTCAGGAACAACTTCAGTTTTCTGATCTGCACTAGGCTCAATGTGAGTGGCCGAGTCTGGCTTTTCCACTTTTGGCTCATTCGCTTCCTCAGGTTTCGGAGCTGGTTTGGAAAGCGGCTGAGTACCGTCAGGTTCTGGATCTCCACTGTTCTCTGCTTGGGAGAAGGAGGCCCCAGGAGTCGGAGGCTTCACATCCAGAAAAGGAAGCTGGTCGACTGATGCGCTTTCTTCTGTAACTGCAGGAGTCACGACCGTGTCTTTACTGGTGTCCACCCCTGGGGGCAAGTCTATTTGTTCAGGCTGTTCCATGGGGACAGGAGCCACTTCGGACACAGGTTTTGCTTCTTCTGAGATGGAGGCTGGTTCTATCGTTTTCTCTTCTGTTACCTGAGGCACCTCTACTGCTTTCTCACTATTCGTCTTCTCAAGTGCAGATGGTGCCGACTCTGGAGTTACAGCTGTGACACTAGGGGGCCCAACTGAAGACGGGGTTTTCAGTTCTGACTCTCTATTTTCAGAAGTAGATTCGGGGGTCTTGGGATGATTTTCAGCATCTTCCTGTTTCTCAACCTCTTTGGGTTTTTGGTCTTTTTCTTTTTCCTTCTGTTGCATTCGTGTGAGCTCCATAAATCTGCTATGGAATAGAACTACTGGCTCTTGAATTAAATCAGTTGCGTTGTTTGTTCCCTCAGATGCCGGCCTTCCGTATAATCTACCAGAAACAAAGTCGGATTCTTCATCTTTCCGCTCTAGATGCTGCAGTCGTTTGGAATCTTGTTCAAAGATGGAGCTGTGTAAAAAACGAGAAGCGAATAATTCTTGCCTTTCCTGCTCCTCTTCTTTATGATCATCTTTTTTATCATCCATTTTCCCTTCTGAGTCAGTCCTAATTTTTTTCTTTTTCATGTACCAGGATGGAATAGGTCTTGGAGCAGAGTCGACCTTTTCTTTATCTTTGTTGTTTCGAAAATTAGCAAATCGGGAGTCCCAATCAAGAAAAGACCAATTTTCTTCTCGAGATGAAGAGAGGGATTTAGCTCTCTCAAGCAGAGCTTTAGTGTCAGGTGTGATTGTCTTATCCAATGCAAAAGAATAAAATTTGTTCCTCTCTAAGGAACTAGAGAGCCTTTCATCTCGCTCACGTAGTTTGTCTTCCCTGTCCCTCAAAAAAGACAACCGAGAACTTTCATACAGTGCAGAGGCTCTGGGTGAGTGGGATTTGTGTTCGCCATCTTCGTCAGAATCAGAAGGCACCTCACCAGGTTCCAGATCTCGTACAGACCTCTTCCGAAGGCTGTCTCTCTTAATTATGCTGTTGGGGAAGCTCACATCAAATCTGCTGGCATCCTGTTTCATTTGAGAGTCCCAGCGACTTAGTTCATCTTCAGAACTCAAGACAGAGAGCTTTATTTTGGCCATGTCTGCCATCTGCTCTCTCCTGCTAGAATCATAGGGATTAAATTTTAAGGACTCTTCCCTGACGGTTATATTAGAATACGGGAGACCTTTCTCATCTACTTTAGGAGACCCTTTTACTGACACCAGCCTAGGGGAACCTATAGGATCATCATCTTCATGAAAGGAACCATGGCGTATGCTGGGAGATCCACCAGTCCTTTCAGAATCTTCACTGATTTGGCGAGAACTTCTGTAATTCCGCTCTCTCTTGGTGCAGATATCAAAGTCAATGTGATCCGTCCTTTTCTTTTTGCTAGGAGGCGAGTCATCAGTGACATCTTGAGGAGGTTTGCCTACCTCATGAACAAGGCTACGTCTTTCATATTCATCTACCTCTTTTTTGGGACTGCCAAACTTCTCAGACTTGGCCATTTCCATCTCCATCTGCTGTTTTCTACGACTCTGCTCCATCTGTTTTCGGTAACTCTGCGTGTGATCAATGTCGATGCCAATTTTCTCTTCAGTGTTTGCTGAATGTGGTTTCTCTTGGCCTGATTTACGTTCAGGTGTTTCACCACGAAGACTGCAATAGTTTTTCCTAACATCCTCTCTCTCTGCTCCTTGATCATCTGATAGCTGCAGCTGTTTGAGTTGTGGTTTTGAAGGAATGAGTTTTTTTGATTGGATTTCTTGGTTTTCCACAGCTTCACCAGCTGGTTCTCCTAGTCTTGCTTGTAGGTCTGAGCTGGGTCTTGAGCCAGACCCGACAGAAATACTGGCAAGCTCCTGACAGTCTTTGGGACTGGGAGCAGTATTAAGCCTGTCCAGTTTGATTTTTTTAGATTCTCTTTTAAGAATTTCTTTCCTTGCAGGCTTTCTTTCAGGCTCTCCTTCCCTCAGCAGGATGACATCTCTAGATGGTATGTCGGGCTGCTTTTTTAAAAGCACCCGAGTATCTTCCATATCTGGACTGCTTTTCTTGACTTCTGATTTCTGCCTTTCTGCTTTCAAATTGGAATCTGCGAAACGCCTTTTTCTCGCTTCCAGCTTCTCCAGATCCACAGTGTTTACCCCATCAGCAGTCTGTTCTGGTTTTAGGTGCTTCCTGGGTTTAGGCCTGACTTCCTTATCTACCACTTCAATGTGGCTCGAAAGCCCCTTTTCCTTGGGCACTTTCATTCTAACAGACTCCAGTTTAGACAAGTCAGACTTTGCAGGCTCGGTCTGAGAGACCTGCAGTTTCTGATCCAGGGTAGAAGACTTGCTGGTGTCATTATCGAGCTTGGCCTTCAGCTTTTCCAAAGGAGTGTGGTCAATGACCTTTCCCTCCTTTTCTTTCACTCGAGTCAAAACCACACATGGCATGAGGTCTAGGCGGTTTTTTGCTATGCCTTCTTTGTCAGTTTTCTCTCTGCTCAGTTTATTAGAACTCCTTGATTTTTCTGGGCTCTGTTCTCTCTCATTTTCTTGGTCTGTTTCTGAAGACTGAGAACTGGGGGAAGGAACTTTTCCTTTTCGTTTCTGCTTGTCCATTTTGTCCTTTTCCACTTTCTCCTTCCGTATTAAGCGTCTCTCTCTCTCTATTCTCTCCGGATCAAAGGTTCGTTCTTTATCTGTCTTTTCGTTTTTTGTATAGCGCTCCAAACGAGATTTGTCAAGTTTATCATATCTCGGAGGGGAGAGTGAGCTACAGCTGCCACTGCGCTCGGAGGACCGGCTGTAAAGCCTCCTCTCAGAATCACTCGGCAACCGCTCGGACTGAGAGGGGGATGCTCCGGGACTCTGCGGACGTCGCAAGTGAACTGGACTCTGGCTCCGCTCCAGAGGCCTCCTTTCGTGGTCTCTGTCCCGGTCAGACTCAAATCTTTCACGTTCTCTTTCTCGTTCCCTTTGCCTGTAGCTATATTCCCGAATATCTTGTTCGTAAGGATCGTTCCTGTAATCCCTGTATTCCCGAGGGTCATCATAGTATCGTGACTCATAATAGTCTCCTTGGTAGGTTTCCCATTCTGAGTAGAACTCTCTCCCTCGAGCTGGGTAGTCCCGTCTGGAGTCTTCAGCATATGTGCCTGGGGTACGAACGTTTTCATAGTAAGTGCGCTCTTGGCTGTAGTCATAGGATCCTCTTCGTTCCTCTCTGCCAAAGAGTAAGGATTGGTCAGTTCTTTTGTTTCCTCATCATTGGATCACATATAGGTCAAAAGTCCAATTTTTCAAAGTCTTTGATAATACTTAACCATCTGCTAAATGATTAAATTGCAGTGCTCATCTAGTACAGCAGTTGCTAACCTCACAGAACGGGAGCACTTGAACTCTGGCGAGTCTAAATAGAGATGCTGGTGTGAAACGCACACCAGATTTTGTAGACTTACAGAAATGACCTCAATATTTTATTCTGACTGACTATAGATTGAAACAATATTTTAGATACACTGAGTTAAGTAAAACTAATTTCACCTTTTTACTAATGTAGCCACAAAAAAATTTAAAATTACATTGTGCAGGCATGGAATGAGAAACTGCACACGTTCTTACTCTTGCTGAAGCTTAAACAACTTAGCCTCATAAATGGAGAGACCAGAACAGTGGTTACCAGAGGCTGGGAAAGCTAGGGGGAAAAGGGATAAAGAGACGCTGGATAACAGATACAAACATAGTATTAGAGGGTCAGCAGGTGGTGTGGTATTAAGGTGCTGGACTCCCACATGGCTGACCATGATTCGAGTCCTGGACCTGGCGACTTGCTTTTTCACTTTCTCTTTCTGGTGAGCGTGCATGCCCTATAATAGCAAATTTTAAAACAACAATAATACATTAGAACAGCAGAAATAAGTTCTAGTATGCTACAGATAGAAGCGTGACTACAGTTAACAGTGACTTATTGTGGGGACCAGCAGGTGGTGTGGCGGTTAAGGTACTAGATATTTCCACATGGCCGACCATGGTTCAAGTCTTGGACCTGGTGGCTTGCCCTCTCACTTTCTCTATCTTTGTATCTCTCTCTAGCCAAAATCAAATAAGTAAATGAATAAGTAAAATTAAAAATAAATAATTAAAAAAAACCAGTAACTTATTGTACATTTCAAGATAGCTAAAAGAAAAGACTTTAAATGCTCCTAACACAAAGTAATAACAAATATTTGAGGTGATGGATGTACAAATTATCCTTATTTGATCATAATACATTATATTCAGGTACTGAAAAACCATACTTTACCCCATTAAAAGCATATGTACAGTCAAGTTAATTTAAAAAATCATATACGTGGAGCCAGCAGGTGGCGTGGTAGTTAAGGCGCTAGCCTCCCGCATGGGAAAATGTGGTTTGAGTCCCAGATCTGGTGGCTTGAAAATCAAAGTGATACCTGTGCGTGCATGCCCAAAAGCCCAGGTGGAGAATGGAGGATGAGGGCTGTGGCATGGGGGAGATCTCTCACTTTCCCTCTCATTGTCTCTCTTGAGTAAGCACATGTGTCCTATGGCAAAACATCTCTTAAAAAGGGGGAGGATTAGAAAAGCCAGAACTACATGTGTAAATCATGCTGAAGTACTATTCCGATTAATAAATACTTATTTTGCTGGGTCCCATAACTACAAAAGAAATGAGCAGGCATGTCTGAAAGAATGCCCCACCTTTAGCAGGAGCTAACACACTGGACACCTGGACCATACTCAGGGCTCTGGAAGGGACCTGGATTGGGAGCACAGGGCTCTGGCAGGGGTACTTGATGAGGACACTGGGAGACTGTACAAAGTCACATTTGGAAGAATGCTGTTCACATGACTGCACAATATCCAAAAACCATAAGTAAGTGAAAAAGTCAGGTAATCATAATGTGACCCTGTACATTCAGCTTGAGAGACACTCAGGAAAAGTGAAACGCGATGCACTAACAGGGAGTCCTTGGGGCTATCCCTGGCCCAACCACTTAGTAGCCTGTGACCTCCTCGGCAAAAGTCATCTGATCTTCAGTCCCTTCTGGTAAAACAGGACAATAGCAATGGTCCTATCTCCTATTTTATTCTGACTGACTATAGATTGAAACAATATTTTAGATACACTGAGTTAAGTAAAACTAATTTCACCTTTTTACTAATGTAGCCACAAAAAAATTTAAAATTACATTGTGCAGGCATGGAATGAGACACTGCACACGTTCTTACTCTTGCGAAGCTTAAACAACTTAGCCTCATAAATGGAGAGACCAGAACAGTGGTTACCAGAGGCTGGGAAAGCTAGGGGGAAAAGGGATAAAGAGACGCTGGATAACAGATACAAACATAGTATTAGAGGGTCAGCAGGTGGTGTGGTATTAAGGTGCTGGACTCCCACATGGCTGACCATGATTCGAGTCCTGGACCTGGCGACTTGCTTTTTCACTTTCTCTTTCTGGTGAGCGTGCATGCCCTATAATAGCAAATTTTAAAACAACAATAATACATTAGAACAGCAGAAATAAGTTCTAGTATGCTACAGATAGAAGCGTGACTACAGTTAACAGTGACTTATTGTGGGGACCAGCAGGTGGTGTGGCGGTTAAGGTACTAGATATTTCCACATGGCCGACCATGGTTCAAGTCTTGGACCTGGTGGCTTGCCCTCTCACTTTCTCTATCTTTGTATCTCTCTCTAGCCAAAATCAAATAAGTAAATGAATAAGTAAAATTAAAAATAAATAATTAAAAAAAACCAGTAACTTATTGTACATTTCAAGATAGCTAAAAGAAAAGACTTTAAATGCTCCTAACACAAAGTAATAACAAATATTTGAGGTGATGGATGTACAAATTATCCTTATTTGATCATAATACATTATATTCAGGTACTGAAAAACCATACTTTACCCCATTAAAAGCATATGTACAGTCAAGTTAATTTAAAAAATCATATACGTGGAGCCAGCAGGTGGCGTGGTAGTTAAGGCGCTAGCCTCCCGCATGGGAAAATGTGGTTTGAGTCCCAGATCTGGTGGCTTGAAAATCAAAGTGATACCTGTGCGTGCATGCCCAAAAGCCCAGGTGGAGAATGGAGGATGAGGGCTGTGGCATGGGGGAGATCTCTCACTTTCCCTCTCATTGTCTCTCTTGAGTAAGCACATGTGTCCTATGGCAAAACATCTCTTAAAAAGGGGGAGGATTAGAAAAGCCAGAACTACATGTGTAAATCATGCTGAAGTACTATTCCGATTAATAAATACTTATTTTGCTGGGTCCCATAACTACAAAAGAAATGAGCAGGCATGTCTGAAAGAATGCCCCACCTTTAGCAGGAGCTAACACACTGGACACCTGGACCATACTCAGGGCTCTGGAAGGGACCTGGATTGGGAGCACAGGGCTCTGGCAGGGGTACTTGATGAGGACACTGGGAGACTGTACAAAGTCACATTTGGAAGAATGCTGTTCACATGACTGCACAATATCCAAAAACCATAAGTAAGTGAAAAAGTCAGGTAATCATAATGTGACCCTGTACATTCAGCTTGAGAGACACTCAGGAAAAGTGAAACGCGATGCACTAACAGGGAGTCCTTGGGGCTATCCCTGGCCCAACCACTTAGTAGCCTGTGACCTCCTCGGCAAAAGTCATCTGATCTTCAGTCCCTTCTGGTAAAACAGGACAATAGCAATGGTCCTATCTCCCTGATTATTTGAGGGATCAAATGAAATCCCATTTAGCAAATGGCAAAGGTCTATGCAAACAGAATTACTGTTCACATTCTTGAATTGAATGTCATTGGGATAAAGCCTTTCCTTTTTTCATGCATGCATCAATTACTCAGTGGTATGACTTTCTGCCACTCTGAAACCGGCAAAGATCCTCAAACTTGACTGCAAGGAATGCATTCTATAGGCGCTTTGGTTTAAAACCAGATGGGGCAAGCCTGGGTCAGTGTCTAGCCCCACACCCTCCTGTTGCCTATGTTAGGAGGCAAACATCATTTGACAGGAATAAATAACAGAACAGAGCCAGAACCAGATCATCACTAAAATGAGCACATTTTACATTATTTAACCCTAAAAAAATACTGTTCTTTTATTTCTTTTTTTCTTTTTCTTTTTAGAGAGATTTTTGCTACAGGGTACATGCACTCGCCCGAGACATAGAAAGAGAAAGCAAGAAATCACCCTCCAGAGGGGATGACCATACTGCAATCCCTTTCCTCCGTAATCCTCTTAGAATTTTGGGCACACATGTACACGTACCAAGCATGATTTTCAAGTCACCGGGTCCAGGACTCAAACCATATAGGTGGCCATGTGGGATCCAGCTGCCTTAACCTTGATACCATCTGCTGCCCCAGGACTGATGATTTTTAATCTTTTGTGATTTGGATTGATTTACTAGTGAGATTACTTTAGTGAAAACCACCAAACGTTAGAATTAAGTTTAAGCTTTTGGTAGTTTGGCCTTGGGGGACATTTTTCATTAAAAAAACTTCAAGTATAAAATGAATACTGCATAATATTTCACTAAGAAATAACTCAAAGAGATACATACTTTGCATGATTTAAACAAAAATGAACTGCAAGGAGAGCGGTAGAAAAGGAATGCATTCAACAGGTTTACACAACTCAATCAAGACCTGGCTCATCCTTGTCACAGACACTTTTCATACTTAGGCGTTTTTTGCAGTCTTCTGTCTAACACATATGTAAAAGGTGGGTATCTAGCGGTAACATTTCAGGAGATTTCATCACAGAGGCATGCCTGCACAAACGCCTGCGTATATGGGTGGCAGTTTCCACATGCGAATGGAACTGCCTATTGGGAAACCTGGTGGTGCTCTGGCAGGATTTGTGTGTGTGTTGTTTTACGTTTCAAAGACAGAAAGAGAGTGAACAGCAGAAAGAGAGAAACAGTTCTTTTAAAAAATTATTTTGTTTAACTTTATTTATTTTTTATTTGACCTGAGAGGGACAGAATGAGAGCGAGAGAGAGAGAAAGTAAGAAAGCAAACCACCAGGTCCAGGACTTGAACCATGGTCAGCCAGGTGGGAGTCCAGCGCCCTTAACCACCTTGTCACCTGCTGGCCCCAGTTTTCTTGTTTGTTTGTTTTTTAACAGAACCTCACCTGTTATAATCCTTCCTGCTGTCCTGCTCCCACCCCCTATTAGCTAGGACTACAGATGCACACCACTGCTCCTGGCCTGTCTAGACAGTCAGGCCAGGAACTAAATCTAGGCCTGTCACCTGGTCCATACTCCTCACAGTACCACCCTCCCACTTGCAGTACCTCAGGTCAGGATTTTTTTTTTTTGGAGAGGTTTTTGCTATAGGGCGTGTGTGCTCGCCAAAAAGAGAGACAGAGAGACAGAAAGCAAGAAATCATCCCCCAGGGGGGATGGCCATGCTGCAATCCTTTCTCCTCCATTCTCCTCTCGGGATCTTGGGCATGCAGGCACACACGCCTGGTGTGAGTTTAAGCCACCGGGTCCAGGACTCAAACCGTGGTCGACTACATGGGAGTGCAGCAACATAGCCATTACGCCAACTGCTGGTCCCAGGTCAGGATGTTTTAACATAATCCATCTATTCAGCACAAAAAAAATCAAATACTACTACATCACCACAACTTAAATATTGCTACATCATCAGGACTTAAAAATTAACAAGGGAGATCAGGTTTGCTTTGCACACATGGCTTTACATGTGCTTTTGGCTTACTGATTCGAAGTATTTAAGAGATTCTGATTTTTAATTAAATGCCTAATATTCATTTTTTTTTTGAGAGGTTTTTGCTACAGGGCACGTGCGCTCGCCAGAGAGACAGAGACAGACAGAGAGACAGAAAGCAAGAAATCATCCCCCAGGGGGGATGGCCATGCTGCAATCCTTTCTCCCCGTTCACCTGAGAGACAGTGAGTGAGAAATCACCCTCCCCACACCCACTTGCTGGGGGGATGGCTACATCACAATCCCTTCTCCTCCATTCTCCTCTTGGGATTTTGGGCATGCATGCACACATACCTGTGTGCATTCTGAGCCACTGGGTCTAGGACTCAAACCACGGTAAACTACGTGGGAGCCAGTGACATAACCATTACGCCATCTGCTGGTCCCGATATTCTTTTCTTAAAAAAAATAATTATTTATTTTATTTTATTTTATTTATTTATTTATTTATTTTTAATTTGACCAGAGAGAGACAGAGGATGAGAGTGAGAGAGAGAGGAAGTGAGAAAGCAAGCCACCAGATTCAGGACTCGAACCCTGGTCGGCCATGTGGGAGGGTCCAGTGCCTTAACCACCATGCCACCCGCTGGTCCTGAAATGTCTGATATTCTTTCTGAAGTTTTCATTTGGTTATGTTTGATTAATTAGATGTATGAATGAGCCCATGCATGATAATAAGGTAGATGCCGTAATCACTAAATATGTAAGGTATTAGTTTAAAATGCACTCTAACATTTGTATCACATTTAATTGAAAAGTTGAAGATTATTTGTATTTATAACTAATGTTACATAAAGGTATAATGTGGCAACACAGTAACTATTTCAAATAGTAGCATTCAGTGAGCATCTCATAGAGGTGACTCCACTTCCAGGGCCCACATGAAAACTCAACTGATAGAAACTGGTTCCTTAGGAAGTGCTAACAGAGGAGAGAGTTGGGGGAGGGGGAACTGGGAGTAGGGAAAAGGAATGAAAAATAAAATTCCACCCCACAATTATATATTATGTATTAAAAGTCAACTTACACAAATTGAGGTAAGGCTTACCTTCTTTCTACTAACATTTCGTAAAAGTCTCTGATATCCTGACCAGATTTCTCCATGCAGTGATAAAATGCCAGCTGACTTTCCCGATTTGCAAAATCCACCTTTAAAAAATAAATAAACAAACATTAAAAGGATATCAGGTGTTTGATGCAAGTCTGAAGCTCTTTTTTTTTTTTTTAATTTACTAGCAGGTCAGTGTCCTCACAGAGACAGGGAGAAAGCACCCCCACCCCCTGGGGCATGGTCATGCTACAATCCCTTCTCCATTTCTCCATCCGAGTTGAGATTTGGGGCATATACATGCATCCAGAGTGCTTTTTAAGTCACCAGGGCCAGGATTAGAACTACACAGTCCATCTCATGGGATCTAGCTCCCTTAACCACTAGGACATGAGGCCAGCCTCAAGCTTAAGGTTTTGTTTATTTGTGTAAAGGGTTTTGTGCCAGGATGCATATACTTGCTGGAGGTGAAGGGGAGAGTGAGAAATCACGCTCCTGGGTGATGGCCCCGCCACAATTCCCTCTCTTTCATTCTCCTCCTGGGATTTTGGGGATGCACGCACATGTGCCTGGTGTGATTTTTGAGCCACCGAGTCTGGGACTTGAACCACGGTCAGCCATGTCGGAGTCCAGTGCCTTAACCACGACACCACCTGCTGCCCCCTCCCAAGCTTAAGGTTTTAATGATTGAAAATGTTACCAATTTGAAAATCCTTTACAAGATGACCCTTGTGGAGAAATTTCAGGAAAAGAGAAATTTATCTCAATAAAATAAAGCAGTCTTTACAACTGAAACTAATTTTGTTAAAACTACAAATTTCTCAAATTCTATGCAAATCTTGATGAAAGAAATGGAGTTTAAAGTTCCACAACCCAATCCTGAAGATGTGGAAAAGGTGAAATGGAAAATAAATTCCTACCAGGATTCTAAATTGGCAATTAAATAATCAGATCAACTCAACCCAGCAATCTCTGTTGTATATCGATTTACTATAACATAAAACAAATATGGAAGAACATACACACTTTTTTTTTTTGCGAGAGTGATTTTTGCTATAGGGTGTGTGCTCACCAGACAGAGAGAGAGACAGAGACAGAAAGCGAGAAATCACCCTCCGAGGGTGGTGGTGGTGGTGGTGGTAGTGGTGGTGGTGATGGTGGTGGCTACGTTGCAATCCCTCCTCCTTAATTCTCCTCACAGGATTTTGGGCGTTTATGCATATGCACCTAGCAAGAGTTTAAGCCACTGGGTCCGGGACTTGAACCTCGGTCAATTATATGGGAGTCCAGTGACGTAACCATGACTCCATCTGCTGGTCCCAAACATACAAACTTTAATCACAGCTGGGTCTCAAAGTCACCAAAACTTATACTCATCTGCTATCAACATCTTGACATTTTATTTCAAACATACTATTTAATCATTACAACTATTAAGTTTATAAATTCCTTCAAACTACCATGAATCAAATTTTAAAATAAACACACCAGACAAAACGTCGTTTCCAGTGGCTACCCATTCTTTAAGAAGAGGAAAAAGATGACGACAATCAATCATTCAGGAAGCTGGACTGACACCAGCCCCACAGTGGGAAGCTAAGGGGGCAGGCCTGTGCTGCGCACACACGAGTGTTAGGTCTCAGGAGTGGGGAAAGCACATTATTTTGAATAAGAGGACTCTGAGAGAGGAATCTGTGGCTAATGCTTTGAAAGGTCCTGTGCCCACAGGTACCCAAGCCAAAACACACACACACACACACACACACACACACACACACACAGTATTCCCATTAACAACTGAAGACGTAGACATTCTTATCCCTTTGCTGACAACCTACAAATGCCCACTATCAAGGGGGGATGGGGAGAGACAGTTCTGTTTTGCTTCCATCGAAGTCGATTTGCATACCTTAATCTTATTCCCACCGATTTTTCTCCCTTTGGTCTCTTTCACAGCTGCTTGTGCATATTCGATCTCATTATAGAGAACCAGGGCCATGCCTTTTAAACGGTCAAACACCACCTATATATAAAAAAACAACAAAACCAAACCAATAAGAGCCTCCTCCACCAGACTCGTTGTCAGTCCCAACAAAATCCTAAATCACAAGGACACTGCAAAGAAATGTATATTTATACTTATGTATTTTATTCTAGAAAAACGTTCAGGCTTCTCCTGGTGATGTACGTTGTGGTGGACACAAAATAAAATGTACAGGGACTGCTTAGAACTGTGGATACTGTAGCTTGAGGTATGTTATGTCTTTTGTTTCTCTGTGCTTTATTTCTCTGAGTTGACTGACTGTTGTACTGTATTTACATAAAGCATTCTTCTATTCTGGGCTCAAGAAAAAAATATCAACATACTTGAAAAAAAAATTTTAAAATATTCAATCAACAGAGAATTTCCATGAACTTTGGTTATAACTAGCGCTGTTTTATTTATTTATTTAAGAGATTTCTTTCTTTCTTTTTCTATAAGGAGAAACAGAAAGCGAGAAATCATCCCCCAGAGGGGATGGCCATGCTGTAATCCCTTCTTCTCCATCTCCTCTTGGGATCTTGAGCACGCACGCACACATGCCCAGCTTGAGGTTTATGCTGCCGGGTCCTGGACTTGAACTGCAGACAATGACATGGGAGTCCTGTGATGTAACCATTATGCCATCTGCTGGTTCCAACTGATGTAAATGCCCTTGTAGACCAAATTTTACCAAAGAGATTTTTAATGTGTGAATTGCTAAAGAAAAAGAAAAGGCATCCCTAGAAACTGGGACTAAAGGATAGCATACCCAGAAACAGAATCCGTAAGTTTGAGCCACACATCGAAGCCTCCCACCTACCTTCAGGACAGGCCCATAACGGCAGAAATGTCGTGTTAGATACTGATCCGACACATTTGAAGAAAGCCCATCTAACCATACGCAGTTGGTAGGCATGCTCTTCCCAAAACCCAGCTGAATATAAAAAGTAAAATTTCTATTAGTAAAGTTAACAATTATTATTCAACTACAGAATTCTGAGGAAACTAATCGTGTGTAGGAATCTTATCAACTCAGCATTTCAAATGAGAATCATTTGGTTAAAATCCAATAGAAATTTACTAAAAGTAATCCTGCCTGGCTAATCACGTACTAATTTAAAGGAAAGTATAGTAGGATGAGGACGCAAACAAGTATTTTACCTCTATGGTTATCTAACTGCCCTAAGTACAATTTTAAATTATCAGACATATGCACAGAAAACTCCAAACCTTCATAAACAAAGAAAATCAAAACAGCCTAATAACTTATGCAAATAAATTTACCTTGAGGCGATTATTTCCAAGGTATTCCCCATCCATCTTCTTAATAGCTTTACAAACACTGGCAATATCACAGTATTGCAAAAATGCATACTGAGGAACTCCATTCACTTTCTTAATATCGATATCCTGAAAAAGCAAATCAAGACTGCTTAGCAATATGTGAGCAAAGAAATATCAAAGTAAACCAAGTATATACAGTGTATATATCCAAAATATAATAAAAACATTATTCCTAGGCCAGCAGGTGGCATGGTAGTTAAGGCGGGTGATCACATATGGTCACCTGTGCAGTGGAGTCCCTGTCCCACAGGTATGAGAAACACACCGGGTGTGAGTGCGCGCATACCCAAAATCTCTAAAGGAGGCAAAAAGGAAAGGCATTGCAGCAGCATGACCGTGCCCCTTGGACGGTGCTTTCTCCTCTCTCTGGCAAGCACGTAAGCCTCCTAGCTTAAAAAAAAGAGAGAGAGAGAGAGAGAGAGAGGGTAGACCAGCAGATGGCGTGATGGTTATATTGTTAGACTCCCATAGAGTGGACTGTGGCTTGAGTCCAGGAACCGGCAGCTTAAAACTTACACCGGGCACATGTGCATGTGTGCCCAAAATCCCAAGAGGTGAATGGAGAAGGAACTGTGGCATGGTCATCCCCCTGGAGCATGATTTCTTGTTTTCTGTCTCTCTCTTGTTTCATGTCTCTCTGATGACTGCATGCACTCTATAGAGAAATCTCTCTTTAAAAAAAAGTGGGGCCAGCAGGTGATGTGGTAGTTAAAGATGCTGAACTCCCACATGGTTAACCGTGGTTCAAGTCCCGGACCTGGCAGCATCCTTTCCCACTTTCTCTCTTTCTCTGACCCTATCTGGTCAAATGAAAATAAATAAGAAAGTAAGTAAGTAAATAAATAAATAGTTACATAAAAATAATTGTTAAAAAAGAAAAAGCCTACTTAATGAAATCCCAAGAAATCATTCCCTCTGAAGTATTCAAAATCCTTATATGGGGCCAGGTCAGCCCAAAATATAGTATCTGAGAAGAGTAGAATTAAAGCAGCCAAGTTTTTGAAAAGTGATTTAAGGGACCAGCAGCTATGTTGCTGGACTCCCATGTAGTCAACCACAGTTCGAGTCCTGGATCCGGTGGCTTAAACTCATGCCAGGCGCATGTGCGTGCGTGCCCAAGATCCCGAGAGAATGGAGAAGGGACTGCGGCATGGCCATCCTCCCTGGGGGGTGATTTCTCGCTTTCTGTCTCTCTGTCTTTCTGGCGAGCGCACACGCCCTATAGCAAAAAAAAAAAAACTTAAAAAAAAAAAGGTGATTTAAGACATGCAATTCTGAATGAGAGTACTCATTATAATATATCCAAACTGAACAAAGGCTGGTAATTGATAAATTTGATAAATTTGACAATAACTACTCATATTCAGAATGAATGGATACATAGACACACAAAGTACTGCGGAGGTACGCTAGAACACTATCTCTGGACTAAAGAAACAGTTTATAAAAAGGAATACTCCCATCTCGTTGGAATACACAAAGCCCGTAGTGGTACCTTGACACTCCAATTCTGCCTACTGAAAGAAGGTGATGAAAAACTTAAGACATGACAATAATCCAGAGAAAAATCAGATGGCAAAATCTGTACTTAATAATGACCTTGGCCATGCACTGCAGAACAACTATGGTGATGAGATATAATCCTTCCTAGGGGCTGGAAACAGCAAAATTAGTAATGTACTTTAAAAGCTATTTGATTAGTCCTCAACAAAGGAATGAACCATGGGGATTAGCAGTTGCTATAATTGCTATGTGGCTGGACTCCATGAGGTCGGCCGTGGTTCAAGTCCCAGACCCGGTGGCTTAAACTCATGCTGGGCGCATGTGCGTGCATGCCCAAGATCCCAAGAGGAGAGTGGAGGAGATTGGATGGTGGCGTGCCCATCCCCTCTGGGGGGTGTGTGTGTGTGATTTCTCACTTTCTATCTCTCTAGCGAGTGCACATGCCCTATAGCAAAAACCTCTCAAATGAAATCCACAAAGGAATGAACCAGGGGTCAGCAGATGGGATAGTGATTGGGGTACTAGACTCTCACATGGCTGACCAGGGTCAAGTCTTGGTCCTGGCGTCTTGCTTTCTCACTTTCTCCCTCTCCCCCACTTCTTCTCTTTGGTGACTATTACAAGTTAAACAATAATAATAAATTAAATAAATAAAGAAGGAAATACACCATACTCAAAATTATTCAAAGTAAGGTAAGCATGAGCTGATTTTTGTCAATAAGTAGACTGTACAAACCCAGGGTAACTCCATCTAAGAGAAATCTCAGAACACTGATGTGTTCAGACTCACCAAAAAAAGTTCTTCCAGCTACCACACCATCTGTTATCAGAAGGCAGCAGACCAGTTTAGCAACTTTTTATATAATTTAAAACAGTGACACTTGGGCTGGCCTCACAGCACAACAGTTAGGTGTATATATAGAGAGGGGGCCAGATACCGTGTGACCAACAATGGTTCAAATCTCAATCTGGCAACTTGAAAAACATACCAGGTGCACATGCTTAAAATGCTGGTGGGAGGAAGAGATGGGGAAAAAAGGTGGCAGTGCAACCATGCCCCACTGGGTCGCGCTCTCTCTCACTCTCTAGTGAGTACATGCTCTAGCTCTGCCAATTAAAAGAGAAAAAAAAAAAGAAAAAGAAACTGATGTCACCCATCAGCAATGGCTAAAATGATGAGATTATAATTTCCTTTTACTTATCTATCTTCTTAAACTTTTCCGAGAGTACGTATACTCTCCACAGAGTCAGAGACAGAGAAAAAGTGAGAAAGTACACCCCACGGGATGGTTATGCAACAATCCTTTCTCTGATTCACCTCTCACGATTTTAGGTATATTCGTGGCCGCCATGTTTCTCAAGCTGCCAGGACCAACACTCAAACCGCCCAGTCAGCCACGTGGGACCCAGCCACCCTAACCCATGCCACTGGTGGCCTGAGGTTATGATTTTCTAACAGAATACTGAGGGACTTACTTTACTGAGAACCGTATTTTTTTTTTTCCTTTTATTGCCAGAGGGCATGTGCTCACTGGAGAAAGACTGATAAGAAACAGAGAGAAAGCACCCTCTGGTGGGGCATGGTCATACCACACTCCCTTCTCCATTTCTCCATCCTGTTGAGATTTTAGACATTCACACACATGTGCTATGTGTGTTATCAGCTGCTAGGACTGGGACTCAAATTGCAATTGGCAAAGTGGGATCTGGTTTCCTTAACCAGACCACAGGGCTGGCCTGACAACTAAATATTCTTAAAACAAAATAATCACTCAATTTTTAGCAATCATTTAAAAAAAAAAAAAAATAGGGACCAGCAGGTGTGTGGTGACTAAGGCACTGGACACTTCACATGGCTGACCACAGTTCAAGTCCTGGACCTGGTGGCTTGCTTTCTCACTTTCTGTATGTGTCTCTGGTCAAATTAAAATAAAGGAATAAATAAATAAAATTAATACAAATTCTTTTAAATAAACAAATAAATACCTGGCTTATAGTCCTACATCTGCCACCTACTACCTATTTAAAAGATTTTATTTATTTATTATTGTCTAATTTGACCAAAGCGAGAGAACAAGGGAAAGTGAGAAAGCAAGCCACCGAATCTGAGACTTGAACTGTGGTTGGCTATGCAGGAGTCCTGTGACTCAGCCACCATGCCACTACCAGCCCCAATTTTTAGCAACCTTAGTGATGAGAATGCATCCACGTATTCGACTATACCTTTTATACTGCTACAATTTATTTATTTATTAAGAGATTGTTGCCATAGGGCACGTGCAAGAAATTGACTTGGGATGGAGGGAAAGGTTGGCCACGCCAGGACCTTGAACATACATACGCACGTGCCGGGGTGAGCCCCAAGCCTCTGGTCCAGGATTTGAACTGCAGTAGGCCATGTGGGAATCCAGCAACAACCGCTACGCCACCTGCTGGTTCCTATACTGCTACAATTTAAAGTGGCAGCTATAGTTAAATAAAAATATGTCTAGTAGTTTGAACAACTACAGACTCCTGAATGCCAAACAGCAAATAAAATAATTCACAACTGTCTAAAGGTAAGAGAACTCCATGTCACCAAACTAGGTAGGCAGCAGAGGTGGTATCAGATTATATTTTACTTTCACAGAATCAAAAGAACTTGAAAAATCAAAATAATTAAGAAAGCGGCGCAGTCTGGTGGGGTAGTGAGTAGCAAATGAAGTGCTATGTTGGAAGCCATGCAGTGGACCAGGATTGGACTCTGGAACGAGCCTGAAAACATGGCTGGCACATATGCACCTAGGGTCTAAGGAGCTAGAGGGCTGGGTAAAGAAGAGGTCACAGTGTGATGAGACCCTGTTAAAGGTGCTTCTCTTTCTCTCTCTCTCTAGTACATGTGGTATTGTGGATAAAATAATAACTGAAAAAGTACAATTATTATTCTTATTATTTTTAAATCTGCTATAGTGTGTGCTCACCAGAGAGAAAGAGAGAGAAAAAGAAAAGTAAGAAAATACCCTTCGGGACCAGCAGTTGGTGTAATGGCTATGTTGCTGGACTCCCACGTAGTCAACCGGGGTTTACGTCCTGGACTTGGTGGCTTAAAACTCACGCCGGGCGCATGTGCATGCGTGCCCAAGATCCCGAGAGGAGAATGGAGGAGAAGGGACTGCGGCGTGGCCATCCCCCCTGGGGGGTGATTTCTCACTTTCTGTCTCTCTGTCTCTCTCTGTCTGGCTGGCGAGCACAAGCGCCCTATAGCAAAAACCTCTCAAAAAAAAAAAAAAAAGTACCCCTCAAAGGTGCGGTGGCCAATTCGCAATCTCTTCTCAGTTCTCTTCTTGGAACTTTGGGTACATACGCACATGTATTGGGCATGTTTTTCAACCTACCAACTCCGGGACTTGAACCACACAGCAGGCTATGTAGAATTCAGCAGCCTTAACTACCATGCTACTGGATAGCCCCCCAAAATGAATGTTTTTGCTAATATATTTCTGTAAATATATTAGTTTTTCTATTTTCTCATTCTCTATCAACCACTTTCATCTCTTGCCTCCAGTCCCCATAAATGGTTTAGCTCAGTGACAAGCACAGATAGTGTTTCTTTTACTAGACGGCATCTTATAAAACAGTATCTGGTCCATCCACAGCGCCAGGTGGTGAAGGCATCATTCTGGTGCTGGTGCCATACAGAAGGCCAGGGATTAATCCTTGGTTGCCTTGAACATGCCAGGTGCCAGTGTGCGCCTGTGGTCCTGTGAGGTTGGCAGGGGGAGGGATTGTGGCATGACAAGACCCTATTAAAGGTCCTCCCCACTCCCTCTCTCTTGTGAAAGAAGTAAGTAAAAAGATCTTCTGCTTAAAGTAACAGTACATAAATAAGAATGGATAAGCAGATGAACAAAAACATGGACACACACACACACATCCATATCCCTGCAAGATTAACCACAGCTGCTCCTACCTAAAATGTTCTTTTCTCTCCAACATCCAAATACACTAGAGCAATTTCTAAACTTAGTAACGATAGTGTTGGGACCAGCAGATGGTGTAATGGTTACACTGCTGGACTCTCATATAGTTAACCACAGTGTAAGTCCCGGATCTGGCTACTTAAAACTCACTCCAGGCGCGTATGTATACATGCCCAAAGATCTTGAGAGGAGAATGGAGGAGAAAGGACTGCAGCGTGACTGTTCCCCTCCGGGGGTAATTTCTCATTTCCTGTCTCTCTGGTGAGCGTATGTGTCCTATAACAAAAATCTCTCAAAACAAAAAACAAAAAACATGCCATACACATATACATGTGTACCCAAAATCCCAAGAGGAGAATGGAGAAGAAGGGATTGAGGCATGGCCATCTCCTCTGGGGAGTAATTTCTTGCTTTCTATCTGTCTCTCTGGCAAATGCACATGTCCCATGGCAAAAACTTCTCTTAAAAAAAAAAAAAAAAAAAAAAAAAAAAAAGGGGCCACAAAATGGTTAAGGGCACTGGATTCCTTCAGAGGCGACCATAGTGCGAGTCCCAGATCTGGTGGCTTGCTTTCTCGCTTTCTCCCTCCCCCGCACCCCGTCAAATTGAAATATATCAACAAAGCAATAAAGTTAAATAAAATAATTCTTTTAAAAAAGATAGTGTCTTAGAAAGACAGAACTAATTTCTCTATTTTTCCAAACAGAACAAAACAGTATATTCTAAATACGTAAAGCTGTGACCAAACTATTTTCACTATAAATTGACTCAAGTTTTAAGGCACAGGGGACAGAAAAATCCTTGTATCCTTACATTTGAGAATGTCCTACAAAATATAGAAAATGATTTTTTTTAGAATTATTTAATTTCATTTATTAGTATCAGTATTATTTAATTCACCAGAGAGAGACAGAGTAAGAGAGGGAAAGTGAGAAGGCAAGCCATGGGGTCTGGAACTCAAACCCCAGTGGGCCACATGGGAATCCAGCACCTTAACCACCATGCCACCTATTGGCCCCTAAAGTGATTCTAATTAAAACTTCAGGGTCAGTAGGCAGCATGGTGGTTAAAGCAGCTGGATCCCACAACGCTAACTGTGTGGTTTGAGTCTTAGACCTAGGGGCTTGAGAAACACGCTGGATGCATGTACATGCACGCCCTAAATCCCAAAAGGAAAATGGAGGACAGGGAACTGTGGCGTGGCCATCCCCCATGGGAGGGGTGTTCTCACATATGTGCTAATGAGCACATGTGCTCATTAGCAAATTTTAAAGAAGAAAATGAAGAAAAAAATAAACCCTTCAATATAGAGTTGAGGGAACCAGCAGTTAGCGTAATGGCTATGTCGCTGGACTCCCACGTAGTCGACCGCAGTTTGAGTCCCGGACCCGGTGGCTTAAAACCCACGCTGGGCGCATGTGCGTGCGTGCCCAAGATCCCGAGAGGAGAATGGAGGAGAAGGGATTGCGGCATGGCCATCCCCCTGGGGGGTGATTTCTCGCTTTCTGTCTCTATGTCTCTCTCTGTCTGGCGAGCGCACACGCCCTATAGTGAAAAAAACCTCTCAAACAAACAAACAAACAAACAAAATATATAGAATTGAGTTTCCAGCACATTGCATCCACATCCTATCAATACTAATCCCTTGGGTACTTTTGATGTACATTGTGATCACACAACAATCACACACTCACCTGCTGCTTAATGTTGCCAGAGGGTGTGTGTGCGTGTGCATGCATGAGTGCAAGAGAGGTAAAAGGCGCTCCCTGTCTGGATCTGATCAAAAGGCAATCCTTTTCCTTCATTTCTCCATCTCGCTAGGGTCCTGGGAGTGCACACACGCAGCATAGTTTTCAAACTGTGGTCAGCCACGTGAGAGTCAAATGCCCACACACAGCACTTAACTGCTGCACTACAGGGCTGACCCGCTGCTGGGTTTTTTGCCTTTTTTTTTGGTCATAGAGTGTGTGCACTCACCAGAGACAGACAGTGAGAGGGCACCCCCCCAGGGGGGATGGTCAATCCCTTCTCCTCCATTCTTCTCTCAGGATCTTGGGCATGTATGCACACACACCCAGCCTGAGTTTTAAGGTGCTGCAACCGGGACTCAAACCACAGTCAGCCACATGGGAGTCCAATGATGTAACCATTATGCCATCTGCTGGTCCCTAAGTAGATAATTCTTTAAAAAGGGGTGGGAGGACACTCTGGCAGGTGGCATAGTGGTTAAGGGAACTGGACTCCCACATGGCTGACCACAGTTTGAGTCCCAGACCTGGCAACTTGCTCTTTCTCTTTCTCTTTCTCTTTCTCTTTCTCTCTCTTGCTTGCTCACTCGCTCTGTCCCTCTCGATTAAAATTAAATTAAATTAAAAAGTTAAATTTTAAAAAAAGGTCTAGCAAACAGGTGAAAAATCATCTTGACTATAAAACAGCCACAGCAACTGTAAAGTGATGTGGAAAAACCTGTGATTTGGGTCGTGTCGTGGTCACCACAAACACTCCCAGGTTTTATTGCCTTCATTCTAATGGGGCAGATGCTAACTTTCAGTTAGAGGCTTACAAAAATAAAGATGTCATTGTTTTCTCATCCAGCTCAAAGACCCCTGGGGGGCAAGGTCACAATGCAATACCTTCTCCATTCTTCTCCTGGGATTTTGGGCACGCATGGACATGCACCCAGAGTGATTTTCAAGCCACCAGGTCCAGGACTCAAACTGTGGTCAGCCACATGGGAGTCCAGCACCTTAACCACCACACTATCTGCTGGCCCCACTGCTGCTTTTTTATAAGTATGTTTTCTCTTCCAGATTTTCCCTTGAACCTACAGGATTAGAGATGGAACTAAAACAGACCCAAGGAACAAAAAATGGCTGAGATTATATATTATACACACACACACACGCACACACACACAAAGTAAATACATATGTTTTTACATAAATATATAGGACAGTACTTAATGGGTTTCTCTAGTTTGTTTTGCTGTGCTTTGTTTGTAATTAATAGGGCAGTGTATGCTCACCAGAGTGTGGGAAAGTAAGAAATTGCCCCTTGCAGGGGCTGTGGGAGGAGAGTCAATTGCAACGTCTTCTCCTCCAGTCTTCTCTCGGGATTTTAGGCATGCATACACATGCATCCAAAAATCACGCTGTGTCCAGGACTTGAAATGCATGGTTGGCCAGTGAGATCCAGCATCCTAACCTCCATGTCACCTCTGGCCCAAGACCATCTATTAATAGGAGTTAAAAATGCAATAAAGCCAAGGGCCAGCAAGTGGCATGGTGGTTAAGGTGCTGGACTCCCATAGGGTCAATGCAGTTTGAGTCCAGGAGCCAGTAGCTTGAAAATTATGCCAGGCATGTGTCTGCATGCTCAAAATCCCAAAAGGAGACTGCAATCCCAAAAGGGATTGCAACATGGCCATTTCCTCTAGGTACTGATGTCTCACTTTCCCTCTCACTGTTTCTCCACAGCGAGTGCATGCACCCTACAGCAAAAACTTAAAAAATAAATAAATAAATAAGATGAAGCAGGGCCTATCCCCCAAGCCCAGTAGTTAACAGGAAGCTTGGTCCCACATGACTAACAAGGTTTGAGTCTTGGCCCTGGCAGCTTACAAAACATCCTGGCTCCACATGCATGTCCAGGATGCTGACTGGATGGAGAACTGGAAGAAGAGATTATGGTGTGACCAGGCCCCACTGACGGGTGCTTTCTCTTACTCTCTCTTATGATGTAATGCACATTACAAAAACAAATAAATAAAAAACATAAAACAAATGAGAAACATATTCCTTATACCATAAAGAATCACCTTTCAAATATAATCAGACTATACTTTGTTTTATGGCAGAGATATAAAACTGCTTTTAGTGCAAAAGCAACATACCACAATTTCTCCAAAGCGCTGGAAGATATTGCGAAGGTCATGGTAAGTAGTGGTTTTTTCAAGGTTGCCAATAAAGAGAGTTCTTGTTGCTTTGGGGTGAAATTCATCTATCCTTTCATCCAATGGGCGAAATTCATTTTCACTTTCCGTTTCTATAAGTGGGACAGGAACAACATAAAATATAAAACTTTTTTAAAAGAGTATATTAATGTATATGGATATGTATGTATCATAAGAAAATCTTCATTAAAAAATTAATCTCTGAAATAATGGGCTTGAATACACACACAAACCAAATTACAAACATCTTCAGAAATAGTCCCTTGTTAATTCCAAAGCAAAAGAGAAATACAAAGGCTAACTTAAAAATCACACCAGGTGTGTGTATATATGTGTCCAAAATCCCAAGAAGAGAACGGAGAAGAAGGGACTGTGGCATGGCCACGCCTCCTGCCCTGGGTGGTAGGAACGGTCATTTCTTACTCTGCCTGCCTGCCTGCCTGTCCCCGACTCTATCTCTGGCAAACACACGTGCCCTGTAGCAAACTAGAAAAAACAACAACAACAACAAAAACAAAGAAAGAAAAAAACAAAACCCAGGCTTATTTCTAATCCAATCACTGCCTTTCTCTGAAACTCCATTTACTTTGGTCTAAAGCAGTGGCAGTCAAGTTTCTGCTGTTAACAATTATTGCCCAGTACTCTGTTGTCTGTCTCCTTTTTTTTCTTGGGAGAGGTTTATGCTATAGGGCGCGTGCACTCGCCAGACAGAGACAGACAGACAGACAGAAAGCGAGAAATCACTCCCAGAGGGGATGGCCATGCAGCAATCCCTTCTCCTCCATTCTCCTCTCATGATCTTGTGCATGCACGCACATGCACCTGGTGTGAGTTTAAGCCACCAGGTCCGGGACTTGAACCGCGGTCAACTACGTGGGAGTCCAGTGACATAGCCATTACGTTAACTGCTGGTCCCATCCTTTTTTTCAAAAGGATAGCTTTTCCAAAGCTATCCAAAAGAAATTAGTATTTAACCACCTTAATAAAACAGTGCTTAGTGCTATCCACCGAACATTACTAGTGATGTCGATAACACCAGTAATTTTTAAAATTCAACTTTTTTTTCAGGTTTTGAGGTTTATTAAAATAAAGTATTAGCAAACAATATGCAAAAACAAAGTTCTTAAGAGTTGTGGCTTTGGGAACCAGCAGTTAGCGTAATGGCTATGTCGCTGGACTCCCACATGGTCAACCGCAGTTCGCGTCCTGGACCCGGGGGCCTAAAACTCACACC